ATTTTGTTTTCAGAATATTCATATGATAAAATCGGTTTTTTTTTTTTTTAGTGAAATTTAGTGTCTTGACTTGAATTTGAGGCTTTTCATGGTTTCATTTCATTCTCACCGATAGTCAATTTATTATGATAAGTATTTAGGCTACATTCTAAAATTCTCTATCTCTAGATACATTATTAAGGAATGATCTTATATCTTGGGAAATATTGACATTTTTAAAGATATAAGCTCATCTCGATGTTACACTCATTGAGACCTTTCATTTGAGTACCCATATCAATTTTTCATATATTTATATATATTATACATATATGTATATATGAAAAATATATCAAAATTCATGTGAGTACTCAAATGAAAGCTCTTGATGAGTATAACATCGGGATGAGCTTATATCTTTAAAAATGTCAATAATTAATACATGACCTTGTATCTTGTCAACTAATGACATTTTTAAAGATATAAGCTCATCCCGATGTTACACTTATTAAGACCTTTCATTTGAGTACCCGCATCAATTTTTCATATATTTATATATATTATATATATGTATATATGAAAAATATATCAAAAATGCATGTGGGTACTCAAATGGAAGCTCTTAATAAGTGTAGTATCGGGATGAGCTTATATCTCTAAAAACGTCAATACTTAAGAAAGTACAGTTCAATTTAACAAAAGTCATTATTCAATAAAGCAAGACTTTAATTATTTATAGTTCACCAGCCATAACAGTCACATAGTGACTACAAAGATGCTAGTTCTAATTAAAAATTTTTTTATTAAGAAAAAAAAAAGTTCGGTGTCAAGAATTTATTATCATTATTTTTTTTTTAAGAGCACTGTTTAATTGTTTTGTAATTAAATTATTAATGAATTGAGTATAATTAAGCAATCCTAATATTGACAAACAGTTATTGTTAAAAATACAAACTAATAATAACAAGAACAGGTCAATGATCGAGTCAATGGCCCTAAACAGAAAGATATATTTATAATTTCCAATTTGCAACGTTTTTAATTATTTTATTTCACTGACTCAACAATTTATTTATAAGCATTCCAAAGATATGAGTGACACTTAATACTAAATAATAAATATTAAATAAAACAGTGTCGAGGAATTTTATTATAAATGAACTTATAAATGAAAGATAATATTTTAATCTTTTGCTTAGTAGATTAAATTTTCTCCCTATGTAATTCACACTACCCCGAATCTAAGCGCTGCCGACAACGAAAAATGAATTTTAATAAAACTTAAATGTTAAATATAAAAAGTAGGTGTGTTAAAGAGTCAAAAATAAAAGTTAAAAGGATTTTTTGGGATAAAGGTCCAGAAGTGACTAACAAGATCATCACAGTAGATCGCACGCGCCTCGGAGAACTAAAGCGTTTAGTTATAACGACATCACTCGTCAATCACGCTGATGACTCTGGTGAGCTGTCGGGTAAAGTTAACCATTGGAAAATCAAATAAAGGAATTTAACTGAAAAATATAAAAGCTGAAAGAAGAAAAAAATTGCGTGGTGTAATACCGCGAAACTTTATAAAATCTCTTTCATCCTGTTGGGCGCTCACGCATCGATGAAAAACAATCGAATAAGGATTTTCTCCTTTCATTCTCATTTTAGATCTGTGGAATAATAATCTCAATCCTCGAGAGCACTGATTTTATTCGAACAGGTTTTATTTGATGATCTTATTACCCAGAATATTTTTTTTTTCACTATTAAAAATGTAATAATAATAATAGTAAATTTTTTTAATTATTTATAAAAGAATAAAAATATATTCCGGGTATATTTGTCAATGCAAAAAGGTGAAATAAAAGGGGGCAGTAAATGTGGGGTAATAAAAGCGAGAGAGAAGTACGTATGAAGTAAAGCTGAGTCAAGCTTTATTGTCAAGTCACGAAACTACCGTGGCCTATCTTTATCTTCTCTCGTGTCACCCTTTCGTGTGTAACAAAAGCTTAAGTATTTTACAATATTCTGGGATTTTTATTAAACATTCGATGTGAGATGCGAGCTAAAAAAAGTTACCGTCAATAATATAATAATAAATTTATATTTAAATTCGTTCTATTTAGAGGTAGTGGAATTTTTTTTTTTTAACCGGTGATTGAGATATTTATTTTTGTTTTTGGAAAAAATTACGAGCAAGAAACTTTTGGCGGCGACTGAATTAAGAAATACGAGGACCGAAGAGGAAGTCAGAAAAAGAGAAAATAGAGGAAAAAGTTATCGAGAATGAGGAGGAATAGGATTGCAGTAAAAAGAGTGTGGGTCTCTCTTGGTAGGACGTTGGAATCGCCTGGAATTGAAAACGAGATCCGGTATTTGGAATGAGGGAGAACGCCGATGAGAAGACGAATGATGTCCGCTTTAGTTTTCGGATATCTTGACCCCTGGTCAACGGATTACTTATTATTATGAAAATATACATTTTCAGAGTTTCATGAGATCCGACTAGTCTTAAAATATTCTGTTTGAATTACATTAAATTACTCTATTTTTTTTTTTTTACAAAATGCTAATTTTAGTTGAAATTCTTTTTGAACTTTTCAACAAATTAATATTAAAAGAGAATAAGCAAAATTTTGTGGTCAGTGTATTTACATGATAAAATGGGTTTTTATAGTTAAATTTGGTATCATTAGAAAGGCAAAGGTTATGACCTGGAGTTGTGTCTTTTTAAGGTTTCATATCATTCTCACCAAAAGTTAATTTAAGATGATAAGTATTTAGGTTGCATTCGAAAATGCTCTATCTCTAGACACATAATTAAGAAATGACTTCGTATCTTGAGAACTATTGACATTTTTAAAGATATAAGCTCATCCCGATGTTATACTCATCAAGACCTTTCATTTGAGTACCCATATCAATTTTTCATATATTTTATATATTTATATATATATCTATATATGAAAAATATATCAAAATGCATGTAGGTACTCAAATGAAAGCTCTTATTGAGTGTAACATCAAGATGAGCTTATATCTTTAAAAACGTCAATAATTAAAAAATGACCTTGTATCTTGTCAACTATTGACATTTTTACAGATATAAGCTCATCCCGACATTACACTCGTTAAGACCTTTCATTTGAGTACTCACATTAATTTTTCATATATTTTATATATTTATATATTTCAAAAATACCATATATATAAAATATATAAAAAATGCCATGTGGGTACTCAAATGAAAGGTCTCGATGAGTGTAACATCAGGATGAGCTTATATCTTTAAAAACGTCAATAATTAAAAAAAGACCTTGTATCTCGTGAAATATCAACATTTTTAAAGATATAAGCACATCTCGATGTTACATTCATCAAGACCTTTCATTTGAGTACTCACATCAATTTTTCATATATTTATATATATTATATATATGTATATATGAAAAATATATCAAAATGTATGTGGATACTCAAATGATAGCTCTTGATGAGTGGAACATCGGGATGAGCTTATATATTTAAAAACTTCAATAGTTAAAAGAGTACAGTGCAATTTAAAAAACGTCATTATTTAAATACGCAAATTTTTATATTTCACAAGTCACAGCAGTCACATAGTGACTGCAAGGTTGCTAATTATTATTTTAGGGACTTAAATAAAAGGAATATAACATAGAGATATTATTAAAAAACAATATATCGATATTTCTTTTTTTTTTTTTTTTTTTATTATTATAGTAATAATCATCTTATATACAGATTAACAGGAAAAACATTTTCAACATAGCGCAATTTCTTACAATGAATTAACAGAAAAAAATTAATAAAAATTTTATTAAAAATAAATTTGGCCTTTAATACTCATGATTTTTCAACAATACAAAACAAAAATTAATTCCGAAAACTAGTGCTGTAAAAATATATTTAAATTCGTATACTTCTGTCATTGAAATTACAAATTTTCTCTCTATTTAATCTGCATTAAAATACTTTATCATAATATTTTATTATATAAAATTAAACTGAGATAAACTAAGCTTTTCTATTCATTTATTTTTTTATCTAACTTATAAAATAAAATAAAAAATTTAAATAAACACGGCCAAATTTCGCTTCATAAATTTTTGTAAGAATATAAATTCAATAATTTTACAAACAATTATTTAGTCTAGTTGATATTTCGCTTACAATAACAATAAATAAACGAAAGACAGGCAAAATGGCTCATTAAAACTTTTATTCACAATATTGTATTAAAAAAAATAAATTTTTAACTTTTGAATTTTGAAAAATGTTATTTCGAACTGTAATTTTTCTTGTTTTAAATACGACAGTACACTTTGGCTACCCAATTTCAAAACACAGTAACTGCAAAATTTTTATACCTGATTTTTTTAAGTATTGCTGCATTTTTTATAACTTTGAGACCTTAATTTCATGTATTTTTTCTTAATAATATTTACATTTAACTATTTTCTATTCACCATAAATCAAATATTTCATTAATTTGGCGCGTAAATTTTTTTTTTTTTAATAAGAAAAATTTAAAAAAATCCTAAAATTGTCAGTTACTGTGTTTTGAAATTGGGCAGCCGACTTATCACGGGTTATAATATAATTTTTCGATTTTTCTTTTTTCCGTGTGGCTTTTCATCCGTAAAAATTCAAAGTTAATACTCAAAATTTTCCGAAAGAACCAAATTTTCCAAAAAACCATTTGCCGTTCTACCCTCCATTTCACAATAATAATTACAATAATAACTCCATAAAAAATAAAAAACCTAAGCCACATTAAATACATAACGCACCAATTAAATTTCCTATTACTAAAACCTTACAACATATTAATATGTATATATAATGAAATGTAAAAAAAAAATATATCGATTGCACTTAATCCGCAAGGTTCTACCCCATCACTTTATAAACTTATCTATAAAATTAATAATTAATAATTAATAATTAATATTAATATTAATTAATTACCCTAAAAATTAAGTCCAGGCAGCCCCGCCGCGTCTCCGATGTCACAGATAAACTTCGGGACTGGCGGGCCCCGGCTGATGGTGGTGTCCTGGTCCCTGGTGCTGGTGTTGAGGGTTAATCTGTCCGTTGGTCTGAGACTGGCTGTTCTGATGGTTCTGATGACTTCCGTGGTTTTGGTTGCACCTCGCGCGGAGAATTTCGTACCTCTGCTTGTACATGTCGCGTTCTTGCGTCAATTGAGCGTTTTTAATCTTAATCTCCTGGAGCTCAATTTTAAGGTTCCCGTTAGTGGTCTCCAGGTCGTGACGCTGCTGCAGTCGCTTGCTTCGGCAGTTCTGCGCGTATCCGCGGTTTTTAAGGGTCCGTCGCTTCTGCTTCAATCGCACGATCTTTAAATTCCCGAGATAATTTTTATTATTTTTAAATTCCAAATTTTTTGTCGTGAAAGCTTTAATTTTTTTTTGTAAATTGACAATTTTTTTTAAATAATAATTATTTATTATTTAATAATAATAATTTATTTTATAATTTATTTATTACAATAAATTATTATTATTGAGAGAAAGGAAAATTTTTATCAAGCTGCGAAATAAATAAATAATTAAAAATGAGAGACCTTACTCACCTCCTCCCGAGGGCAGCCGTGGAGTCGCTTATTGAGCTCGCGGACAGACAAGGACATCAGGACTTCGTCGTTCATCAGGTCGTCCTGGGAGCTGCTGCTGTTGCAGTTTAGGTAGTGCCCGCTGGAACGGTGCACTGGACTCGGCCCGCCAGGTCCGCAAGAATTTGCAGAACAGACACTTAAAGGCCTTCCAGGCTGCATTGACATTGTGTGCATGCTGTCGTCCATTCCGTTTAAGATTCCGTTGCTTGGAGGCAAAATTCCGTTTCCTCCTCCTGATCCTGGGCCGTAGCAGTCTGACATTGTGATATATGGAGCTGGAAATTAATTGTTAAAATTGGAATAATTAAGATTTATTTAGGAATTTTTTTATTTATTAATTGGATCTAAATATTTTTTAATTTTCAATACATTTTTTTTTCAAGAAAATTATACTAATTAATAGATAATATTATTAAGAATAAATTAAAAAAATTAATTATAAAATATTTTTACTGACTGGAAGTAATTTTTTAATATTAATAATCTTTAAAGTGGCAAAATAAAAAAAAAAACAAACTATTTTTTTTTTTTAGTATCTAATGAAAATATATTAACTTATTATGCTTAAAAAAAAATCTCCAAAAGTCAGTTCGATAAACAATTTTGATCCAGATTTTAATCCAGTATTTTTTAGATTGAAAATTATGTTTAAAAAATTTTAATTCCTAGAATTTTTAGGGAAGCTTTAAATTTTTTTTCTATATTAAAAACACCGGATAAATATTTTTTAATAATTTTTGAAGACTTATATAAACGTTTTTAGTTTATAAAATTTATAAAAAAGTCAAAATTTTAAATAATTTATATTGAAAGCTTAAAAAATCTTAAAAAAGTGGCCCCAAAAATTCTTTTGAGCTAATTTTTTAGACAAAAATAAAGGCTACAAATTTTAATTTTACTGCACAATCTTTATAAATATCATAAAATTACTTCGGCTAATTTTTTTTCTCAATTTTGAGTAAAGAAAAAAAATTACAAGCATTAAGAAAAATTTTACTTTTCAATTTGAACTTTTTAAAATATTGAGTAATTTTTTTGATCTTTTGTTTTATTAAAAAAAAAAAAAAATTATAATTATAATTTTAAATATAAAATTAAAAATAATACCTGCATGCCTGATATGCCTTGGAAGATGCTGAAGCTCTTGAAAATGATGATGACTGGAAGACCAGCTCTCAGGAGGAGGTTCAGGAGTTTGTTCTTGAGGACAGTGAGGCCTCAAATCTAGAGGTTCTTGCCTAAGAGACTGAGTAAGCCATCCCATTCCGCCGTTCATCTGATGCATCTCAGCATCCTGAGGCATTTGATGTTGCTGCTGTTGGAGGTTCAAAAGGAACCCCGTTTTTTCGTTCCTCAAATCGCGATCATTTCCGCGGTGATGGTGCTGCAGGGGAGGAGAAGCCGAAACTGGAGGAGTATCCGGCGGAGTTCCAGGGTGAGAAAGAGTTGTAAGATGCGTTGCTGCTCCTGGCGGAGCTTTTACCAGAACCCCGTGTTGAACTTGAATATGCGGCTGTCCGTACAGCGGATGCGGTTGTTCCAGCTCGTGAGCTGGGGGAGTTAGTGGTGCCAACGCGAGACCCGCGATCTGGCCCGCGATGCTACCGTTTACCATCATCGCCGGCGAGCTAAGTCTTACCTACAGTAAAATTATAAAAAAAAATTTTTTTTATTCTAAAGTTTAGTAATTTTATTTTTAAAAAATCAATTGGTTTGTTCAAGCTACAGAGTTGCAAATTTTTTTTTATTAAAAATGACTTTATTTTTAATTTAAGACGATAATTTTTTTATAATTTAATAAAATTAAAGTTTTTTTAATTTTTTATCTTGAAAAAAAATATATTTTTTTCAATATTTTGCCGCAAATAAATTTAATGAACAATTAGTTGGACATTAAATTGATTTTCACCGACAATTAAATTTTTTATTTATGATAAAAAATTATTTAAATGATAATTAAACTTTTATTTTGTTATTTGTTTAAATTTTATTGACAACTTCATTTTAATTTATGATTTTATTAAATTTAATTAATAATAAAACCTTTATAATAAAACCTTTAATTGAAAAGTTAAGTATCTTTTTTAAAAAAATTAATTTTTAATTGACAATTCTTGTTGTTTTTAATGAAAATTTAATCTATACTGTTAAAAGAATAAGAAAAATTTTGTGTTCAGGATATTCATATGATAAAATCGGTTTTTTTAGTGATATTTAGTGTCATTGCAAAGGTCTGATTTGAATTTGTGCCTTTTTATATTATTCTCACCGATAGTCAATTTATTATGATAAGTATATAGGCTGCATTCGAAAATGCTCTATCTCGAGATACATAATTAAGAAATGACCTTGTATCTTGTGAAATATTAACATTTTTTAAGATATAAGCTCATCCTGACATTACACTCATCGAGACCTTTCATTTGAGTACCCACATCAATTTTTCATATATTTGATATATTTATATATATATATGTATATATGAGAAATATATCAAAATCCATGTGGGTACTCAAATGAAAGCTCTTGATGAGTGTAACATCGGGATGAGCTTATATCTTTAAAAATGTTAATATTTAAGAAAGTACAAATGTAAATAATTAAGAAATGACCTTGTAACTTGTGAACTATTGACATTTTTAAAGATATAAGCTCACCCCGACATTATACTCATCGAGACCTTTCATTTGAGTACCCACATCAATTTTTCATATATTTGATATATTTATATATATGTACACGGAAAAAAACGTGCGGTAAATCCAACATCACTTGGAGTTGTCACAGAAACACATGAAAATCATCCGTAAACACACTATAGCGTATATATACTTTAGTCCATCCTGTGGTAAATGCTACTCCAAGTGTAGTTGGATTTACCGCATTTTCTTTTCCGTGTATGTATGAAAAATATATAAAAATGCATGTGGGTATTCAAATGAAAGCTCTTAATGAATGTAACATCAGAATGAGCTTATATCTTTAAAAACGTCAATATTTAAGAGAGTACAGTGCAATTTACCAAAAGTCATTGTTTAATAAAGCAAAATTTTATTTATTTATAGTTCACAAGTCACGGCAGTTACATAGTGCTAGTTTTAATTAATGATTTATTAATTTTGATAAACAATAAAATTTTCAATTATAAAATTATCAAACTTTTTTAAATAATTAAAATTTTTATGAACTCCAACAAAAATACTTTTTAATTAAAACTATAATTTCAAATCGATAAAAAATTTTTAATTGAAAAATAGAATTAGAAATAATTTTTGCGACTCTGTAAAATTGACAATTGCTTAAAATTTACAATTAAATTAAAAAGTGTTAGTCCCAAGGTACGGAGGGGACAAGTATAAGCATAAAAATTAGCAAAGACAATAAACAAATAAACAAATGAACTATAAGAACAAAATAAATGATAAGAAGAAGAAGAAGAAGCGATTGTTGGTAAGCTGAGATCACCTCGCGCTTAACGTCGGCGGGATCGAGATGATCAAGGACAAATTCCTGGACGTATTCCCTTGCTAAGTGGTCCTCTGCTTCCATCTTGACCTCGTCGACCTCGAGAGTATCTTGTTCCGCGGCCGTTGTCTCTACCGCGGAGGTTGCAGTAGGGACATAAGGAACCGGCTCCGAGGGACCTTTTTTCTCCCTTTCGATTAACCCTAGTTCGTAACCGCGGCCGCCACTTTCTTCCGCGGCTGAAGAGTTTGTTATTTTTCTGCGAGACGTCTTGATTATTTTTATCACTTGACTTTAATTTTTTTCTTTTTTTTTTTTAATATTGCACTTCACTAATTGTTATTATTGCACTAAAGGTTTTTAAGTTAAACCAGGAACTAAGTTTCATAAAATAATTTTAGTACTTAGTCTTTAATTTTTTTAATTTTTAATTTTAATGTTTTCAATTTAAAATTTTTTTTATAAATAAATTATTTAAAAAGTTTTTTTTAAAATAAATAATATTTTTCTTACAAATAATTAAAAAATAGTCAAATTTTTTTTCAAAAATAAAATCAATAATAATAATAATTTTTAGTTAGAAAAAAAAAATTTTTTTCTAATTTTTAACAGTTCAAATTTTTGTTAAAAATAATATTTATAGTAATTTTCTTAAAAAAAAATTATTTTCACAATGAAAATAAATCACAAACAATAAAAATCGCACCTTTTAAATAGTCAAATTTTTTTCAAAAAATCAATAATATTAATAATATTTTGATTGCAAAAAAAAAAATTTCTAATTTTTTACAGTTTAAATTTTTATTAAAAATAAAATTTATAGTAATTTTCTTAAAAAAAAATTATTTCCACAGTGAAAATAAATCACAAAAATAAAAAATGGCACCTTTTAAAATCCATTGCACATTCACAGTTTAAAAAAACAATTAATAAACCAAACGATTGAATAAAAATCACAAGTATCGTAAAGACGCGTAGTGTAAAAAAAGGTCAGTCAGACACAGCGGATCCTCAGAGATCTGTCCGATTAGCTGGCGGTCACTAAGAGTGGATTCGCACCTCCTCGAGCGGGTATTTTCCCATTCGTACATACGTCCCACGGTACAACAACATATTTATCAACACTGGTAGCTTATATATGTTGTAAATCTGATGGGTGAAAAGAGTGCGGGTTTTACTTAAGTAGTAGAGCCGAGGACGGAGAAGACCAAGGTAGCGAAGAGAAGGTACAAGGTAGAGAAGAGAAGAGAAGAGAAGAGAAGAGAAGAGAAGGTGAGGGTGGATTTAAGCACCCGGTTATTACAAGTATGAGTATGTAGGTAGGTATGTAATTTAGTGTGAGTGTGAGTATGCAGTGGGAGGGTTGTTGGAAGCTGGCGAGCTAGCACGAACCTGAGGAATGGAAATTCGGCACCGGTGCGCGGCCCACGACACAGAAGATACGCCAACCGAATGGGGACCTGGTCAGACGCAGCCTCGACGAGACTCTTGGTCGGCCATGACGTCACTAGTAGGTGGAGCCCCGGATAGTCAGACCTTCCCAGACGGAGGATTGGCTGATAGTGTTATCGCTTCTCATTGGCGCTGCTCCCTCTGCTGGAACTCCAACTGGAACTGGAAGCGCGAGCACTTTAAACTCTGTCACTCAAGGCCTCGTATTATATCTAGCAGCTCGGCAAGGTAAGGGGTGAAGCAAGACCCCGAGTCTTAGATTCCGAGTATCAATGCATACCCTGCTTTTAATGTACCCAAGACTACTTTCTGAGGTGTCTATTAATTTATACTGAGATTATTCACATTTTTCATGATTCTACCCCTGGTTTTTATTATGCCGACAAAATTTACATTATCTTTAAATAATCCTTTTTAAATTGTTAATTGTCTTGTCGGGGATTTTTTTCCGAGGGCTTTGGTGTTACTTTTGGAAGGGAAATTTATAAGTTTAATTGGAGTCACTTTTTTTTTTTTTTTTTTTTTTTTTTTTTCTAAGTAATTATGGTAGATTAATTAAGAAATAAAATTAAAAAAAGTTGATGAGAAAATTGAATAATTTTTGAATAAAAAAAATGTTTTTTGTACAAAAGAGAAAGTTTTTGAGTAGACAAAATTTTTATTATTTAAATAAATAGTTAAAAAAAATTTTTGCATGGTTTGAGACAATAAATTCTTGAAAATTTTGATATTTACATAAGGATGAAGCTCAATTAAAAAAAAAATAATTATACAAGAATTTGACTTTTAATTTATAAATTTTTTCTTCATAAAAATAAGGAAGATTGAAAATTTTTGGAATAATAATAAATAAGATACATAAAAAAATAGATTTTGACACTTTTTATAATGTGAAATTTGTAAAAGGAATTGTAGAATATCATTTACATTAATTAAATGGTCAATTAATAATTTTTGTTAATTAAAATAAACAAATATTCGATAATTTTGTATAATTTTTAAGCTTGCAACCTTTTTTTATGGTTAATAATAAATGAAATTTTGCTTTATTAAATAATGACTTTTGTTAAATTGCACTGTACTTATCAACTATTGACATTTTTAACGATGTAAGCTCATCCCGATGTTACACTCATCAAAAGCTTTCATTTGAGTACTCACATGCATTTTTATATATTTTTCATATATACATATATATAATATATATAAAATATATGAAAAATTGATGTAGGTACTTAAATAAAAGGTCTCGATGAGTATAACACCGGGATGAGCTTATATCTTTAAAAATGTCAATATTTTACAAGATACAGGATCATTTCCTGATAATTTACATTTGTACTTTCTTAAATATTTACATTTTTAAAGATATAAGCTCATCCTGATGTTACACTCATCAAGAGCTTGCATTTGAGTACCCACATGCATTTTCATATATTTTTCATATATACATATATATAATATATATAAATATATGAAAAATTGATGTGGGTACTCAAATGAAAGGTCTTAACGAGCGTAACATCGGGGTGAGTTTATATCTTTAAAAATGTCAATAGTTCACAAGATACAAGGTCATTTCATAATTATGTATCTATTAGAGATAGAGCATTTTCGAATGCAGCCTAAATACTTATTATTATAAAGTGACTATTGGTGAGAATGATATGAAACCATGAAAAGGCACAACTTTAGGTCAAGACCTTTCTAATGATACCAAATTTAACCTTAATAACCCATTTTATCATATAAATACACTGACCACAAAATTTTTCTTATTCTCTTAATAATATAGATAAATAATAGTGATAATAAATATAGAAATTTTCTAAAATTACAAACTAAAATGATTTATTTTACATTAATTTTATTAATAAATGAATTTAATACCCCAAAAAATGAATGACTTCAGATTAATTAAAGCGTCGCTCAATTAACAATGCATAAACCCATGCAAAAATAAAATGAAATTACCTTAAAAAACATAAACAAAACTGTAACAAATATCAAAGCGTGTAATTTCTTAGATTATATATTCATATTCATATTTATATTTATACATGTGTGTATCATATGAAATATAAAATAAATAATATATAATGTGTGAGAAGAATGATACGATAGTGAACACTGAGTGTAAGCTGAGGCGGTGCTCTCATATAGACTCAGTAGTCTATGAGCTGGGAGGTATGCGACGGGGAGTCTGCAGAGGAAAGAGGAAAGAGGAAAGAGGAAGGAGGAGGGAGGAGGGAGGAGGAAAGAGGGAGAGTGCTGGCTCAGCAGCTTTGCCCGTGCCCGGCACCCCGTCAGCTTCAGCTTCAACTGGTAGCCTGCACATCGATACCAAACCTCTACTCTACTCTATCCAATGATACCTAGCTCTTACACCGCGCACCACACACCACACACCACACGGCACACCGCTAACAAATCTTTCCATTCATATTGCACAATCATCTTCAAATTATATTCCCTAAATATTTCATCAGTTTTTTTTATTATTTCTTCTTTCTACTTGTTACTCTTTCATTATTTTTATTTTTATTTTTATAGCTTCGAAGATCTAAGTAGATTCAGTACTGATATTGATATTTGTTGGATAATCTGGCATTATTTTCCTTCGGTTTAATTCGCCGTAGAATATAATATAATCCACTGATTCAAGAATTTATTAACTATTAATAAATTTATTTGCTTGGAAATTATTTTTTTTTATTTAATAAAAATAAATAAATTTTTTTTTGTTATTAATAGTTAATAAATAATTGATAAAAGTGAATTAATAAATTTATTTATTTAAAAATTTATTACAATCCCAACAGCCTACTGGCCAATAACAAGGTCACTTTATGGTGCAATGATATAAATTTATAGTAAAGAGTCTACATTACATGTTAATTATAATTATATAATTATGCTAAATTATTACACATGAAGGCTTAAAGGTTTAGTTATAATTTAAATTGATAATAAATAATTTTTAACTAATATTAAATCATAAAATTTTTTTAAATAATTATTTGTTATCAATTAATAAATGTTTATTGATAAATATTTGTTAACTCTTAATAAATTAATTTTTTTTTTTTAAATTTTCATAATTTATTTAAAAGTACAAAATATTTTTTTTTTTAATTTAAAAAAACCTGTAAATGAATATTTATTAACTGTTAATAAATATTTATTTAAACAACGAATGTTAAAATAAAAAAATTATTTATTAACAGTCAACAAAAATTAATTAATTGTATTTAATTAACGATTTATTAATTATTAATAAATATTTTTTAACTGTTAGTAAATTTTTTTATTTAAAAAAAAATTTTATTTTTTTTATTTTAGAAAAATTTAATTTTTTTCATTAAATATAATCAAATATTTTTTTTAAATGAAAGTTTACTTATTAACAGTTAACAAATATTTATTAGCAGTGAATAAATGCTTTCTAATAAATTACTTTTTAATCATTGATAAATAAGTGTTAATTTATTAAATGTTAAAAAATAATTTATTAAAAATTGATAAAGCTTATTAAATAAAATAAAAACGCATCTTTCTCATTTCATTTGGTTGATATTGACATCGTACGACTTGGTAAAATCTGAGATGACAATACCGTGGATGAATGACAAATGACCGAATATAGTAGAGGATATATATAATGCTGTACTTAGAAGAGAGAAATACGTGGTGTATAGACTCTGACACACTGGGGATTCATTCCATTTGTCTCGCTGCAAATACTTGATCTGTTTGCTATCCGCGCTCAATTATTAACGGATAATCGTTTTTTTTTGTATTCCGCTACTCTGGAGACAATATAAAACCCACGGATGTCATTGCTGACTGCTTTACTCGAGGAATTAATTTTTTTGTCATTTTACCGCGTTTAATTATTTTAATTTATAAATTTTTTTTTAATTATTATTACTCCTTTTTTATTTTATTTATACTCCTTTTTATTTTGTATATACGATAAAATGGGTTTTTATGGTTAAATTTGGTATCGTTAGAAAAGTCTTGTGCCTTTTAATGGTTTCATATCATTCTCACCAATAATCAATTGATGATGATAAGTATTAAGGCTGCATTCGAAAATGCTCTATCTCTAAATACATAACTAAGAAATTACCTTGTATCTCATGAACTATTGACATTTTAAAGGATATAAGCTCATTCCGATGTTACACTCACCAAGACCTTTCATTTGAGTACTCACATCAATTTTTCATATATTTATATATATTATATATATGTATATATGAAAAATATATCAAAATGCATGTGGGTGCTCAAATGAAAGCTCTTGATGAGTGTAACATCGGGATGAGCTTATATCTTTAATAACGTCAATATTTAATCAATTACAGTGCAATTTAATATAATTAAGAAACGACCTTGTATCTTGTGAACTATTGATATTTTTAAAGATATAAGCTCATCCCGATGTTACACTCATCGAGACCTTTCATTTGAATGCCCACATCAATTTTTACAATTTTTCATATATTTTATATATTTATATATTTCACAAATACCATATACATAAAATATATCAAAATTGCCATGTTGGTACTTAAATGAAAGGTCTCGATGAGTGTAACATCGGAATGAGCTTATATCTTTAAAAATGTCAATA